GGGACTGGATTATGAAGTGGAGGAACCATGCAGACGGTCTATCCATCATTGAATTCATTGTCTGGGTCCATGGGTCTATCTCCTGGCTGAGGCAGACAACGACTGAGTCCATCCGGTGATAAGCCTCAGGATCGTCTGACCCCCGAAAACGCGGACTCAGCACATCGTACAAGCCCTCCAGAGCTTATTCGACACAGCACTCACACGCCTCTAGGCTTCTATGGGCTCTAAAGAATTGCTCTATTTAGCTCCGGACTTCCTAGCATCCTCGAGGCGTACATGGACCCATTCCGCGATTTATCTCTGCAAACAGGAGCTCCGGAGCGACTTAACCAATGCGACTTCTAGATGAATTAGCTCCGGGGCCGCGGGCACTTCTATCGAGGGGCATCGTCCTCATGCCCACTTCCATCAAGATACCGAAGGTGCGGACGCATACGAGTCACCATGAGGCCAGCATCAGTCAGCAAGCAGCCGGAGGTAATTAACACGTGACCGGCGCGTCACATGGAGTGATGGGACCGCTTGGATCAGGTGGCAGAGCATCAAGGCAACCTCTAGGGGTTGGGACGAGCAAGTAGGAGTGCAAGGGAGTCGTGTGGTGCATGGTATAGTGGCGGCAAGTGCTGAGCAATCCTGTGGGTAGCGGTGGTTATTTGTTATTTATCTCCGGACGGTCGCAGAGCCATTCCTGTTGTATAAATTGTACAAAGTAGCGTACAGAAAAACAAGTTTTCGACTTCACCATCTCAGAGAATTAGCGTTACGATCTCAGCGACCCGAGAAGTTCGAAAGTGTCAAACTTAGCGAATTATAACCGATCCTAGCTTTGCCAATAGGCCTGACTCGTCGAGCGAATTATCTTCGCCATCGATTCAATTAGCTCTGGTGAGTCTCCCATAGCGAAATAAATTAAACAAGTCTTTCTAGCGTTTTCTACTCCCGTGGGCCTGAACCTACACTCGGTTCCATGGTTTGCGACTTTGTTTGCGACTTTTCGGAGATAAATACTCTGGAGCGTCCATTAGTGTTTGTTTCAGGCATCAAAGTGTTTGTTTTATTTTTCTAGGTCTTCCTACGGACTACCCTATGGCGTCTTACTCCTCCTTTCCCCCTCGAACTATTAAATACCCCTCAGTTGTCTTGGACCGCCTTCACCCATATCACGGGGTTTAGGTTTATTTCTTTTGGTCCTTGGTGATTGTTGTGTGTCTGTGCATATCACCGCGACGGCCGCGTCGTTGTCTGACGCGGGCTGGGGTAGAGCCTCGGTGCTTGCGTCATGGTCTGCAGGCCGAGACTGGCCTGAGCAGTCAAAAGGGGGAGGGACAGGGACGAACGAGACGAGGGTTACCTGGGGATCGAGCGGCGAGCATGTAGCCCCGCCTACTCCGAGCATCGCGACCACCGAGGGCGCGAAGACCGTGCCCACTGCGCCGCCGGCCTCGACCGCTGACCAGCCAGCAATAGCGGCAGCGGCGAGTGACCAGGCCATCGCAATCACGCCGAGCTCGTTCTACGAGGCCCCTACCACTGCCGCCTTCGTCGAGCTTGTCAAGAAACGGCCGGAGATGGCGCCCCAAGGGTTCCAGAAGGGCCAGACCGACACCATCGCATTGCGCGCACGTTGGTGGCGTTATTTGCAGCGCGCCGGAGGGAAGCTCGAGGACACGGACGCGTTCATTAATGCGACCTTGCACGTCATTGCGTCGGGACAGTACAAGGCCACCATCGATGAGGGCAAGGTCGAGAAGGCCCCGACTAGATTGTCGCCCGACTTCGAGGGCAACCCCACCGACGAGGAGCAAATCATCAAGTACCTCGCCGGCTGTGGCATATGGACCCAAGGGAGACACTACGAGGCTGCCATTGAGCTCGCGGAGTTGCGTGGAGTCAAGGGTGCACCGACACCGGACCCTTTCGCCGACTAAGTGGGGAGTACGGACGCTGCGTGCCCCCCCCCTCTCGTCGCCGTCGCTGTCGTTGCCACCGTCTCGCGTCTGTGCTATTATTTGGACTATAACAATCTTATATCGCATTATCGAATCGTTAATACCCTGCGGCATCACTATGTAATATGACCACTCCTCCCGCCGCATACCCAAATTGCATTGTATGATGATC